AGGTCAATATGAACATGAATGAAAGATTTGTGTGTGGCTGAGGTCAATTTGAACATGAATGAAAGATTAAATTGTGTGTGGCTGAGGCAATATGATACTGATTCTTCTCTCTCCTGATTGGATAAAAAAGAATTATCCAAAGTTTCACTCTAGTTGTCCCAGTTAGTTTGTGCTCACTGTAAAATGTGTGCTTGTATCACTATCCTCCCCACCCTCTGGAGGTCCCATAGGGGAGACCATGGGGTGAGGTATAGGATATAGAGGCGATAAGAAGTTATACAATTGCTAATAGGCATAGTACTAACAATTTTCCCACTACAGAGGGTTCCCAGAAGGGTATACAGAGGGAAATGTGCACACAACAAGTAGTTGAATAACATGGTGATATTAATTGAAATGGATATTAGTCTATAATAATTGAARATATTTTTTGTTTCTGAATAAAGATTTGAAAAATTTTTTCAAACATTTCAATCCATATGACCATTGATCTTCTTGATCACTCAAACCTAAATCCATGGTCATGGATCAAAAGTCTGAAAACTTAGTTTGAATTTAATGTCAGAGACAAAACATTTCAAGTAATATAAGGAATCCTGACTGCAACAATGGTATTTTTAGGGTATTAGTCTAGTTCAGATTAATAGGCACTGATCGTTTTCTATTAACGCTGTTATATGTTTCTGTGTGAATGCACTAACAGGGACCACTTGAATAAAGTTAACCAATCACTACATAGGTTGAAAACAAAGGAATTAAACTTAATTCAAACTTGAACCAATCAGGAGCAAGTATTACAAAGCCTAGATTTCTGAGAAAAACTTATCAACAAACGTGGGAATGTGATTGGCTGAGGTCAAAATGATACAAGATTTTGCTCTCTCCTGATTGGCTCTTTTTATCTTATCTTTTTATTTTGTTCAGGTGGTCCTGGTAGTGTGTCTGCACAGTAAATGCTTAGACTTTGTTATACTATTATTCTATCAAATTAGCATCAATATCATGATTTAATCACAGCCACTGTCAGGTTGCAGTTTATAGGTTTTAGAGAAATGCTTTTAACTATTATTAGACGGTTTTAAAGGGTAAAATGGCTACTTGTCAATGTACACTCTACAGATGCCCAGTTATATATAAAGAGAAACAAGGTACAGTTTTGTCAGAAATTTTGTCATAATGGGAGCTCACTAGTAGATCTATAGTACTGTTACCAATAAAGAATACTGAATACCAAAATACTGACAAGTAGTAGGTATTTATTGACTAACAGTTGCTATCACTCAACCAACATTCATTAAACAAAAGACAAAAGTGGTCTCTTGTGTATATGTCTTTGTTTAATGAATGTTCTGGTTGAGCGATAGCAACTACTAGTCACTRAATAGTACTAGAGTGCACGCACTAAACCCGTGAAACAAATACTAATTTTTAGTACTAAATAGTGATAACAAAGGATTCTGTATGAATCACTACTAATTAGTACTAAATATTGTTCAGGGATTTAGTGCGTGCACTCTATTTATCAACTTTGTTTTTGTTTTATGATTATACTGCATGCGCTTTAAGTTTGTGAATTAGGACATCAACCTTGACATATATTTTTTTTAGCTGCAGAATCAAAGCAAATACTAATTTCATTATCATAACTTACCAAAGTATCGTACTGATCAATGATATGAATTTTTCAGTTTTTAGTTTATTGCTGAGATGCTGCATTCGAATTCAAACTTTTCATTCAAACTCAAAAATAAAAGTACAGTTTCATTTTTTCAATAGTTTTCATTGATTGTGCTATGGGAGAACACATGCTCAGGGGGAAAAGGAGAGGCCCCCTGTGAAGGAGAAAAGGAGACCCTGTGCTGAAGGACAGCAGGGAAGGAAAGGCACTGTGGGGTGAAAAGGATGTACCTGTGCTGAGGAAGAATGGGATAGGAGGCACTGAGGGGGAATAGGAGGTACTGTGCTGAGAGAGAACAGGGGATGAGAGGCACCGAGAAGGGAGATAGGAGGTACTGTGCTGATGGAGAACAGGGGATGAGAGGCACTTAGAGGGGGAATAGGAGGTACTGTGCTGATGGAGAACAGGGGATGGGAGACACTGAGAGGGGACATAGGAGGTACTGTGCTGAGGGAAAACGTAGGATGAGAGGCTTTGAGAGGGGAAATAGGAGGTACCTGTGCTGAGGGAGAACAATGGAGGGGAGGAAATAAGAGGCCATTCAACTGACATATTAGTCTCCCCCACAGCCGCTTTCACTACTGACATATAGGTCACATATAGAAAGAAGCTGAAATTTAACTTCCTATATTAGAATCTAGTACCAATAGTACTAAATCAATCTAACATCGAATATTTCTTAGGATTTGTGGGAAATATTGTAGGACACAAGTAGGGAGTAGGGTTTTTATGGTTGATCCCAAATTTGTAAACAAAATTTTGATCCATGATCCCAAAAACTCACGTATTTCGATCGATCCCTAATCCATAAATAATCCCTTGATCCATGCATTTATTCATACTGATCCCATATTCCTCGTCACCACCCTGTTACCTACACGACATATAAGTGCATAGAGCCAATAAAATTGTATGCATGAATATATATGCACACGAACACACTTATTGTTTTTTCCTATAAAGATAATCAGACGAGACCAATAAGAATTAAAGGCATTGCAATTTACTCTTAATTCCGTATTACCAATGTTTTCAAATCCAGCTGACTTTATAGAGTCTATGAATGGCATACTTGTAAAAGCTAGGTTAAACTTGTGTGAATGAGTGTTCGAAGTTAAAAAAAGCTGAATGCGTTGGATGAGAAAAAGAACTATTCTTAAGGGACTTACATACGGTAAAACATTGTGCTCAGCAGGACTTTGGACACCCCTGAAACCTATTGCACGCAAAAACCATTGCAAAAGTAGAAAGTGCTAGATTTAGGGAAAGGTCATTTAATATGCCGATGGGAGGGGGGCGATGAAGATATGTGTGTGGGAGGGAGGGGGTGGGATTGGTGGTGGGGGGGAGGGGGGCGAAGGTTTTTTTGGGCTCAAAAAATTTGTCTCTCATTTTGCCTCTCATTTGAAACTTTTCTTTGGTTGTTTGGGGGGCTTCGAAAATTAAATGAAGTCCTAAAGAGCGGCATGTAAAAATATAAGGTTTTTGTGCAGAAATCTTCATCCCCCCATCCTGTCAGCATATTAAATTTACCTTTCCCGTAACACTTATCACAGTGCGTGACTGTTTAAGTGCCTATGACACCTCAAGATCTTCTGCATAATTGATTCTAAGTGAAGTGAATAGTTGAATGATAAAATATTTTTCAAATGGTTTGCAGTTATGCAACTCGGAAATATCAAGGTTTATCCGAACAATGGCAAAATTGAAACATCAGATTTAGACAAAGAAGATGGTGTCTTGACAGCCCAGCGACCAATACCACCTCCACCTCCTGCAAAAAAAGCAAACGACTTTAACAATATATGATTTAAATACAACGCTTGATGTAATGTCTAGGTGGTTGGTTGGTTGGTTGGTTGGTTGGTTCGTTCGTTCGCGCTCCAACTCACCTCCTCCAGCGCCATCTGCACATTTGATTCATGAACCTCCTTGAACAAATATTTTTCCATTGACAGTGCTGAGGAGTTCTTTAGTAAAGATGACCACACTACCTCCCGCGCCTCCACCCCCTGGGACAGCACGGAATGCGACGTTATTAGGAGAACAACTACCTTGATCACCTGAAGAATTAGAAATAAACAGACTTGAAGACATTATCCATCGCTACTTGTAGTCGTCTATGAATTAACAGTCAGTACCAATTTTTCCAGTACCAATTTTTCCAGTACCAATTTTTCCAGTACCAATTTTTCCGGGTAATACCCTTAGTAGAAAAATGTTTATCAATTCTCATTCTCGCTTATGTAGGATCATGACATACTTGAACTTATTTTACTCACCCTTTGCTTCTATCGCTCCATTCAACGTCAGCTGGTCCAAAAAGAGTAGTACCAGGCCACCACCGTTACCTCCTTTCCCACCAACAAATCCATATTGATTACCACCGCCCCCTCCCCCTCCCCCACCGTAGCTAAGATGACTGTTAAAATCCACGTTGCCATACTGAAATCCACCTTGACAAGAAATAATATGTAAGTTTCAGTAAAATACCCCTTTCCCCGTCCCCGTCCCCGTCCCCGTCCCCGT